GAAATAGAAATTATTTTATACTTTTTAGTGCATTTCGAAGTCGGTGTATTTTTTTTCTTAAAATTATTTTATTTTTCAAAACCGTACGAGCTTCGAGTTCAGTGCATGCTTTTATATATTTCATTATACTTTCGTCGATTATCAAATTGAAAGCACTTTTACACAACCAAGTTTTACTTTTCTTTTGGCATAAGAAGTTGCCCCTGAGACATCTTTGAATTTGGTATGACTGGGAAATCTACCAGTATTTCTACTATCTTTCAATGTTTCCCATAATGTCCCATCAGCAGCTTTATGTGTTGAAACTTCACTGCTCGAAAATTCAATGCTATTAGGTTGATTCTCCGTTTCATTTTCGATTTCATTCAGTTCCACATCAGATGCATCAGATTCTATGTCTGATTGGCATTCCCTTATTTGCGTCAGTTTTTTTGGCAATTCGAGATCTCTTCGATGTTTTGCCATAATATCAACCCTAATCTACAACTAAACTATTTATATACATTTATGTAAATATATATTATAAATAAATTCTGTAAATACCTTAGTTCGTAAAAATCCTTCAAAAGACAAAATGTTATATAGGGCACTTAGCAACACAAATGAAGCACTGTGAAGATACACTTCGCTGGCCGATCGACAACTGCCAGCTTCGAATTTATCTTCTAAAGAAGTCATGAAGAAAGACAGTTGCTTTCTCTGTCGCTCTTTGTTGTCGCACGCGAGCTAGTCATAACATTGCATCGGGTTACAGCCACTGACCTCTAATACAATCTGGCTACCTGTTTCTTTCTTTTAGACACAATGCCTACAGTTATCGGGTTTTGTTTTGCGACAAATGCACTACTTTCTCCGGTGCCATAAGTCAAAATGAAAGATTTCAACAGGATAGTTTGCAACAAATAATTTTACAGCATTGAATGAATAAATTATAACATGAAAACTCTCCTACCAGAACGTTTACAAAAGAATTTTATGCAAAGGAAATAAGTTACGTGTGTCTAAAACGGTGAGTCAATTTGACTCGTATCCGGCAAAATAGGTATAGCACATATGAATTATTGGAAGTAAGGAAGTAGGGAGGAATAGGAATTACTTTTTGTATACCTTTCATTGTTCTATGAAAAACCAAAAAATGATTTAAAAAAAATGACTTAAAATTGTTATGTATATCACAGTAAAAGTGCAAATGAGTCAAATTGACTCGCTCCGGCAATCTAGTGTTAATCTACTAATCACTTCACTATTTATAAATAGTTTATTAGTTAATTATCAATTAATTATTATTATTATTATTATTAGTATTATTATTATTAATAATCTCATTTACTTCATTTATTAATTAATTAATTAATTACTTCCTTCTTGCTTCAACCTATCCGCTTACCATTTGAAAAAACGCGCCATGTCTCCGCCATCTTGCTTGTTGCCGCGTGCCTCTGCTTCACCCTCAGGCTTCGTCCCTAAGGCCAGCTCTCCATGCGCTTGCGGCGATCCTTCCTCCGCCGTCTTGCTTGTTGCCGCGTGCCTCCGCTTCGCTCTTAGGCTTCGTCCTTAAGGGCCGCTCTCCATGCGCCTGCATCGACCCTTCCCCGGCCATGTTGGATGTTTGCGAACCGGCCTTTACGCTCTACGCTTTCCCTCGCGCGGAGACGCCCACGTGTTCGTACGATATATCGAAGCATGCT